ATTTCTTTTAAAAAAATCCTCTAAATCATATTTTTATCAGGCAATTTATAAAATAAAATATTTGTCATTATAAAGCTTTTAGCTTAACTACATGTTATTTTCTTCATTTAGACATAAATAACTTTAACATTTATTTATTTATTTATATTTCAAATTTGTCACCGCCCATCTTACTGTGGGGTGACTCTGGGCAATTTACAGTAAAAACAGAATAAATATTGATTAAAATAGATAAATATTAATTAATATTTATGTTAATTAATGTTAAAAATACACTCCCTTTATAATACTTCCTAGAGGCAGATGTTAATTAGGTGTTAATAAACTCAGGGTGCATCGTCAAGGCACCAGCCATCCCCAGGGTTGATTATATCTTTCCTCACCCCAGGCAAGTTGGCAGAGCCAAGTCTTCAATTCCCTCTGGAAAATTGGGAGGGTAGGGGCCCGCCTCACCTCTGGGGGGAGAGTATTCCATAGGGTGGGGGCAACAGCAGAGAAGGCTCTCCTCCTAGGACCCGCCAGTCGACATTCTCTCACTGACAGGATCAGCAACTCTGCCAGACTGGGTGGGACGGGTCAATGTAATGGGGGTGAGATGGTCCCTCAGGTAACCTGGATCCATGCCATGTAGGGCTTTAAAGTTGATAACCAACACCTTGAATTGGACCCAGAAACAAATTGGAACCCAATGCAGTTCCCGCAGCAAAGGTGTTACATGTGCCCTCCTTGGGGCATCCATGATTACCCGCGCGGCCACATTTTGAACCAGCTGTAGCTTCCAGATACTCTTCAAGAGTAGCCCCATGTAGAATGCATTGCAATAGTCTAAACGAGAGACGACCAGGGCATGAGTGACAGATCAGAGGGACTCCTGATCCAGGAAGGGGCATAACTGGTGCACAACGCAAAGTTGTGCAAAGGCCCTCCTGGCCATGACTGCCACCTGCTCCTTAAGAGGAGTCATGAGTCCAGGAGGACCCCCAGATTATGCACCGGGTCTGTCTGGGGCAGTGCAACCCCATCAAGAACCAAAGATGGTAAGCCCCCAGATACAGAGGGGCCTCCAGTCCACAGCCACTCTGTCTTACCAGGGTTCAGCTGAAGCCTGTTCTTCCCAATCCAGACCCCTATAGCCTCCAGGCACCACAAAAGGGTGGTCACAGCATCCCCTCACCTGGGATGGAGATGTATAATTGGGTATCATCTGCGTACTGATGATACTTCATCCCATGGTGGCAGATGATCTCACCCAGTGGTTTCATGTAGATGTTAAACAGGAGCAGCGAGAGTACCAAACCCTGTGGTACCCCACAACAGAGGGGCCGTGGGTTGGACCTCTCACTCCCAATCAACAATGAATGATACCGACCTTGGAGGAAGGAAGTGAACCAGCACAAAACTGTGCCACCCATGCCCAACTCCCTAAATTGGCCCAAAAGGATACCATGGTTGATGGTATCGAAAGCTGCTGAGAGGTCAAGAAGAGAGAGGATGGATGCATTACCCTATCCTGCTCCTGCCAGAGATCATCTATGAGTGTGACCAATGCTGTTTCTGTCCCATATCCAGGCCTGAAACCTGACTGGAAAGGGTCCAGATAATCCGTTTCATTCAGTATACTCTGGAGCTGCAATGCCACCACCTTCTCAATCACCTTCCCTAAAAAGGGGAAGTGGGAGACCATACGAAAATTGCCCAGTACAGTGGGATCCAGGGATGGTTTCTTGAGGAGGGGATGCATTGGCACCTCTTTAAAGACAACTGGGAACACCCACTCCCTCAAGGATGAATTCACCATCGCCTGGACCCACCCACATGTCACCTCCTGAGCAGCCTTGACCAGCCAGGAGGGGCATGGGTCTAGTTGACAAGTGGTGGCATTAACAGTCTAGAGGACCCTGTCCACTTCCTCAGGTCCAACAGGATCAACCTGTTCCCAGATAACGGGGTACATTTGTACCCTGGGCATCTTCACAGACCATGCCCCATCCTTGGAATCCAACTGGGAACGGATCCAAGCGATTTTATCCTCCAGATGCCCAGAAAACTCCTCTATGTAGACCTGTAAATAGACCACCGGGCCCTCCTTTCCCAAAAGAGATTGAGTGATCTTAAACAGGGCTGCTGGGCAGCATTCTGCGGATGCAATAAGAGTGGAGAAATATTGATGTTTTGCCTCTCTTAATGCCACAAGGTAGGCCTTAATAGCGGCTCTAGCCTGTGTTCAGTCAGATTCAGTCCTTGTTTTCCTCCAGCGGCGCTCTAGACGTCTCTTAATCCTTTTCAAGACCCTCAACTCCTTCATAAACTAAGGGGTGTGTCAGGCTTGATGGAACAAGAGAGGTCGCACAGGCGCTATCCTGTCCAAGGTCTCGGCCACCTTCCTATTCCAGGCAGTGGCCAAGACCTCCGCTGGACCATGCAACAGATCCTTGGGTATAACCCTCAGCTCCCTCTGGAATCCAGTTGGGTCCATCAGTCGCCGGGGGCAGACCAGTTGAATAGGTCCTGTCTACCTGCGGAGGAGGGTAGCATAAGAGAATCTCAAGGTCACCAGGGCATGATTTGACCATGACAATGGGGACAGATGTAACTCCCCCTTCAGATCATTTTGGCACTGCTCTGACAAGAAAACCAAGTCTGGTGTGAGACCACTGTCCCAAGTTGGGTCGCGAATAACCTGGGACAGGCCCGTGGCTCCCATGGTGGCCATGAACTCCCAAGCCACCTCCGAGGCACGTCCCAGGGATGGCAAATTGAAATCCCCCAGAATCATACGTCTGGGGAATTCTGCCGCCAGCCCCAAGATGGCCTACATGTGCTATAGTTCTAGTTTCCCTTCACTACTGCTTGCAACCATTCTATAGCTGTATAGCCCCCAAAATAAATAAATTTTAAAAATTATCATCCTAGCAAGAAGCCACTTAAAATGAAGAATCATAAAGCACTGTACCAAGAAGAAAGTTACTATAAATGTATGTAAAGGTCACCTTAATCTCTTTTATTAAGGCACTTTCCTTTTTCCAATCTCTGTATTTCACAATTCAACAATTACATTCAGAACAAGTGCCTGATGTAAAATAATTAAGACTGACAAGGTAATCTATTGAGAACTAAATCCCACCAAGTTCAACTGCATTTTCTACCAGATTAGCTGATATAGAATTGCAACCCTGACACTCTCATTGGATTCCTTTGTGATCATTAAGATCAATCACAAGGCCACTTAAAATTGGGTCTGTGCAAATTGTCTGAGATGGCACTTCACTAATAAGATAAGTGTCATGCTTTGAAGATGCAAAGCAGATATTCAGAGGCTTATTATGGATGTTTGAGGCCCTCTTGAAATCTTTTGAGCAAGTGTCCGCATGCTCAGAAGACTTTTTTGCTGGGATAGCTGCTCAGAAAATCTCAATTTGGGGGACTTTGGATTTTATTGACAAAATCTGTTTGATCTGAAGAGTTGTCTCAGCTGGCAATGTCAATGCCAAGTTCTAGGACTTTTTTTTTTTTTTTTTAAATCTCAGTCCATCAGCCATTTAACAGATATTTGGCTTTGGATATCTTTTTCTCCATATTAGTTCATTAAATGGTTTCCTGTATCTCCAACTAATAAATTGAACTTACTGATGGTTTTGAATGTTCAAATATTTTCAAAGGAAATGTCAGGTCTTCCTTTGCCAATGTTACCAAGTACTCTCTTAGAAGCTTATTAGCAATGCCTGGAGACTCATTTTCACACCGGTGTAGGAATGGGACCATCCACTGGTAAGCATTTTTGACGTATCTGTCTTCTGATGACTGGAATATCAAATATCTTTTCATTAATCAAAGATACAACACAAAATAAAGACAGAACTAAACCAAATCAAGGTAAAAGGAATGTATAAATATAGTTCAGCATGTTTCCTTAACCTGATCTTTAAATTTTCTTTTCTAAATTGCCACTCTAAGAGCTTTAAGAGTAGAGTGCCACAGATATTAAATTATGTCATGTCCCCATGTACAAGATTCTACATGACTTTCACCCTACCCCCCGGAAAGGGGGAAATTATTTTTTAACAGGATATATCCTAGGTGGTGTTTTCAGTGATACTGACCACCAGGAGGCACTATGGGATGGGTTTCATACTCATCTAAAGTGTAATAGTCCATAAGTTCAAATCTTGATAGAGGATTTTAACCCCACAGAAAAGAGCTGGCTACAGATGACTGACAAGTCACAATAAGGATGAAGCTGGTCACATACTGCCTCCTGGTGGTCAATATTACTGTAAAAGCATATTTTATGTTATACATTGTGCTGATGCAAATCTCTTTATTAAAAATGAATTAGTATTGTTACATGAATATTTTCAGGACATTCTAGAGAAGAACAATATGAAGTAAAGACTCACATGTGTTGCTTTACAACAAAGGTGAGGTAAATCATTATAGAGAAAGGTGTTTAGGCCATTAGGATTTTTTTTTCCTATATAGATACCACTAGAATACTCTGAAAAGGTTTCCTGAAGTAATGCTCCCAATGTTGTACTGATGAACATATACAGCAGCAAAACAGAGGATGGTAATGTGGAAATTTTCCTACATATGAGCTTTTCTCTTGGATTCTATCAGTATCCACCTTACCCACTCTGGAACTTTAAAATGCAAACGTTTTAAGTTGTTGGCAACGAGCTATTTCCCATTTTCCCCTCATCTACAAAAGAACAGTTGTCCTACAATATCACTTGAGAAAGCAGCACACCAATGTCACCTAAAATAAATACTTATCAGCACATCACTCTGGGTTAGACTGTGAATCAAATTACTCTCCTAAGAGTAAATCTTTGATTATGCAGATAAGAATAAGATGATGTTATTGAAAGACAAAAGGACTGCAATTCTGTATGACATAAAATTTCATTGCACAACAAAAATATCCCTTTCTCAACCCTACCCACCATGGTGCAAAAAAGTAACACGTACATTTGACATTAACAGCCTTAGCTTCTCAATGTTTTCCATTTGCTGTAGCTCTTTTAACTTCAAAGTAATGTCACATCCAGTCTCATAAACTAGTGTCTCCAATGTAACCAGATCATCACAGAGAGAGCGAAGACCAGGAATATTCCTTTCCATGCCAAGGCGAACCAGTGAGAGAGCACAATCTACCTATTTAACAACAAGCAGAAAAAGGAATGGAACTGGAATGTCAACCTATTAATGACTGGGCTTTGCTGATGTTCTAGCAGGTTTTGTAAAACTGAAGAAAGTTGTTTCAAAAACAATTCACAACTCTGGACAGCTTCCAATACATTTTTTATTGAATTATTAATATTAAACTTTAAAATTCAGTCATATCAGATATCAGGCTGAACAGATTTCATCCCCACATTTTCTTTGAAAAACAGCTAGCATAGAGTGAGTATGATTTTAGATTATCTGAGATGAGGAACGGCTAGTTTTTCTTTGTCAATGCACTGAACTGCATTCAAAATACATTCCAAAAGTCCATATCCCAAAGAAGATACTAGAGGTCAGAAAGAGACATTGATGGCTTCCAGCCAGATCCAAATCATTTGTCCCTGTCTTCAGTGCAGAAGCCGTAGGAAACAGACTTGTACATGAAGTGAAAAATAATCTAAAAAGCGAGACAAATAGTTATCACAAGTGATGACATTGTAGACCTCAATGGCAACTTGAAATTATGCCACCAGCTTCACATGCCATCTATCCAAGAGTTTTCAAGAAAGTGCATGTGAAATTGCCAATTTTCTAGCAAAATATGTTACCGGTCCCTAAAATTGGTGTGGCAAACAGGAATTTACATCTCCACACCTATGAGACAGAACAAACTGCCAGGCCCCTTTCTCAATTCCAGAAACAGAACTGTCACCACTTATAATAAGTAATAACTAATGCCCTGAACATTAGTTGGGATATCCAGGTGGCTATCATTGAAGAAATACCACTTTTCCAAAGCCTTTTTTTTAAAAAATTTTTGTCCCGCCTTTATTATTTTTATAAATAACCCAAGGTGGCGAATATACCTAATACTG